CCGAGAAGAAAAAGCCTACTTAAAGACTAAAGTAGTCAAAAAGCCCTCAGTTATTTGCAAAATACCTGACATGTAACTAAACATGTGGCACCCGTTATACCACGACTATAACCGCTGGCTCAGTGTGCGATGGATCCCAATGTTTGTCTAAAACATAAGTTAGATATTAAATGTCTAATTTTCGCTGCTAATAGTTTATATTTAATTAGCACAAAAAGCGATTATACTCCTCTTCTTCTTAAATTAATGCAACCTTGAAGCTTTGCTCTTTTTCTAAAAGAATCAATCTATCCATAAAGTTTAACAATCAATTAAATCAGACTAATAATGGCTTTCCAAATATTATAGAATCTTATAGCGCATATAACTGAAATAATGCAAAGAATGTCTTTGCAAAGGCCTTACTCTACAATATACGCTTGTAACTAAAATTAGCAGTTAGCGGAATACATCGCCTTTTCGATTTTTAATTAAAAAACTCAATTATGTCTTTGTTGTTACATTTGCAAGTAATATAAATGAAAATTAATCTATTGAAAGCTGTCAAAATTGATGTTCTTCCTATGCATGCACTGGTGACTAGCTAACAAGTGGTTAAACTTCTTGTCAAGTTAAAGATAAAAAGAAAACCGCAATTATCATTTGTTGAAATTTGTTATATGATCTCCTGCTGTCAACTTAATGTAGACGACCGGCGGCAATATATTCTTTTATCATAGTTTCAATTCGAATTAACAAATTATGATTACAACATAACTATAACCGATGGTAACAGTAATATATCAAATGTTTATTAGATTTAGAAATAATGTAATAATAACACGATAGGATTTCGATTAATTCGCGATCAATTAAATGTATAAAAACCCAGTGATCTTTGCGAGAATTAATACAGTAATAAATAACAATTCTTTGCAAAATAATCGCGATTAGCATCAAAAATGTATAAATATGTAAGTTTTGCATTTTACATATATAATCGTTATCAAGGGATAACATAATCAATGTACTGTTTTTCGTATTCTATTCTTCGATAGTTGATCTGCTTTGTGATGTTTGTGACTATGGCCTTGGCTAGACCAGGCTTCTTGCAAACGTCTCCGTTGATAACCGAGTCGAGTTATCATGGCTTGCCAGCTGTGCATGTCATACGTCCCTTGGTTTCGACACACAGCGTATTAACTACACCTTTGGTCTCGAGCACCTCTCTATTGCATGGCACATCATTGCATGGAACCTATCATGGCTTATATTAAATCGTAAATCATAAATTGAAGTCTTCCTTAATGGACAAACGATGGCTTGTTTAATATTGATTTCCGTGTAGCTAAATTTGATATAAACTTGTATTTTCATTTTTATAATTTTGTTTAAAATTTCATCAGAATACGTGTAAAGTAATAAAAAGAATTTTATAAAATGCATCTCATGATAATCATCAATGCTCAACCGTCGTAACAGTTACAGTCTCGTAGTAATCCTTAACTTTTCTTACAAACTGAGCTATTTGTGTCTACATTTGTGTGTGAGGGTACGAATAAAACCATATCCTGAATTTCTGTTTTCTATGCATTAAAAACGTGGGCGCTTCCATATCTATTTTTAGAAACCAATTACTCTTGTGCCTATGTATAAATATGTGTATTTCTTTTTCATTGGGGCTGTCTGCCTGCGGAGGGAAAGGCAACCCTCATTTATACATTCTCCAGCGCGGTTTTTCTAACTGCACTGATGAAATAATCACCAATTTTCAAAAAATGATATCTGAACAGTCTTTTTCTCTTTCTGCGAGTCAGCTTATCCACAACCGCGGGGTAATCACGTACCCGATATTTAACTTCCACCGCTTTATTCATTTGCTTGATAAAAGTGTGTGAATACAATAGCGAAAGCTAAATTTTTCATCTGTGATTAGCCCCCAGATGCGTTAAGTAAAATATCTGAATACTGTTCATGTTTCCCCCTAGCTAACTAGCCCTCAGTGGAATAACTTGAGAGCCATTCAATATGTTGTTCCGTCATTCCGTATTTATTTCAAAAAATGAACGAAAAATAAGAGGAAATTTTGACGTTTAGAAACAAACAGCATGATGCAATCACCAACAATATCACCCATAGGTAAATAAAAGCAAAATTCTATAAAATGTTATATGGAAATATGTATAACTGTATGGTTGTGTAGAATATTTTATGGTGCACTGCGACCCGTTATTATTTTCTATTTCAATTTTTTTATCAATAATCCACATAGATCTAACATCTGATTTAGATTCTTTTTTTCTTGGTCTAATTTTCAAGACTTAAAATTCCTTGCTTACCAAAACTTGAATCAAAGACATAGTAAAACAACTAACGTTATTTCCTAACGGAACTTTGTGATGCCCCTAAAAATTGCCTTCACCAACTCCTTTATTAAGCAAAAGTTTTTCACAGCCCTGACGAATATCTCAATATATCGTTATTACTTATTGCGGATGAGTTATGACTAACCGCCTTATTCTGAGCAGCGTTCTACTTGCTCTATTTTATAACGTCGCGCTTTTGCTTATAACTCCATTTATGATTTGCATAAACTAAGAAGCCTTCTTTATTACGATCACTTTTGTTTGGGAACACCTTATTTGATACCAGATCACTCACACATGGACTAGCAAAATACAAGCAATAATTTTAAGGTCGTTGATAAATACAAATGCCAAAATTAATTCAGTGTTAAGTAATGTAACTAACAAAACTTTGGAAATAAGAAAGTTAGAAGTAAGTGCTTCTTCATAATAAATTTCGCTATTGATTGTTTAATATCTCTTTATTATATCCTGGAATAATTGTGGTAAAAAAGTTTATTAGGTGTGGATGTATGTAACACCCAGCAGGACTTGAGACAGATTCCCCTTTTATTGTGCCAACAAATCACTTTCCAAATCTAAGCTTGTTTGATCGTCTATCCCTTTGTCCGTCTGTCCCTTTTTGTTTTTTTTTTGCTCAACGTACATGTCGTACATTTTTCGCATATTTTTTGATGAATATTGAATCTAAAAAAATGAATGACTTTAAGGTGACTCCATAGTTATGGCTTCTGGATGTTTTGGCAGGTTAGAGAACGAAGAGTCTTCCACCACAACCCACTTGCCGCCAGCATCCGATCGGACTTCGCTGTATCAAACGCTGCACAAGTCTGCTTTACCCGCCTATGCACCTCCACAAGCTCATGCCGCCGTTTACGATTGCTCTGAAAAAGCGGCCGCCGGCTCCTACAAGAGTTCTCCCCGAAGTCGATTTATCTCTTCTCTCCGATCCTTAGTGTGCTACCCCAAGCGGCTACGACTGCGGTTCGAGTCGGTCTCCTCAGTCGATATGCTCACGTTGTCGAAATTATCGTCAGGCATTGAAACGCCTTGCATTTCTTCTGGTGGCACGAAAGATGAATCCCGCTGAGGATTAACTAATTGTCATACATGCTTACTACTCAGCATTATTTTAATAGCTTGTACAGTTCAAAACCCAACGGTCAATAGTAAACGGAAAACATATGATAATAACTAGAGGCATTATGAAATTTACAGAAAATATGAGAAAGTGCATGAACAGACCAAGCCAAAGAGACATTTATTCGTATTAAAAAATATTTTAATGACAACAAAAAAGGAATACATTGGTAATATGTTTAGTGAATTTAACTTTGTTTTTTTCCTAAGACCGATAAAATTTGCTTTAAAATTCTTTCTTTTCTTATTTATTTAAAAGAAATCACGTAGTTTGCGAAAGTGAAGGTAAGTTAGAAATGTTAATTCTAAAATTTCTGGAATTTATTTTGTTTTCCATTTGTAGCTTCTTACGAATGAAAAACAAAATAAATACCAAACACAATTTTTTACTCGTAAACAGCTGAACTAAAACAAAAAATTTTAAAAAATTGACAAACAAAAAAAAAACTTTTTGGGCAAAAATGTTTGAAAGAGCCGTAAAGGAAATTGCAGAATAGGACAATTTTTTTTAAGATTTATGCAAAATTTTTTTTACTGCGTCTATAACACACATTTCGTAAAGGTTTAGTCCATTTTATCTCAACAGACCAAGAACTAAAAAATATTGGCATATTGGAAAGGTCAGTATTTTATTATTAAATGTTAACAAATAAACGTTTTGCGTTAATCATTATGTAAATATTAGGCGAAATGCTTCGACACATCATTTTACATCTTTTGAGGAAGAGGATCGATCTCTGCAACGAAAAAGGGTTCTGCGGAATGCTTTTATTCAGGATACACACACTGTGATTGGGTAAATTTTGTGGATATATTGGTAGTCCCTATATTTATTTATATTGCGAGGATGGTTATTTGTCCCTTGTCTATTTAGGGTGCAATTACTAACCGGATAATGATGCTGGGGTAGCCTCGGAGTCTATTCCAGGCGGCGTTACCGCAATAAGAAGGAAATTCCAACACTCTTTCATATTCTAATGCAATTTCCTTATTGACATACGACCAAACTTAAAACTAATTGTATAGCCTTAAACATAGAGTGCCTATTTTATCCTAACGTCAGTGATATGATCCCTAATATTTTGAAGCATGTTTAACACGGAGAGAATGCTAAAAATATCCTTTGTATATACAAAAGAATGTTTAATGTTCAGAACGTTATGAACATAATTCTATTTAGCAATACAAATCTGAATACAAGTAAACGTAACAGTACCTAATAAAATTGAGGCATTACTGTTTGTTCAGCGTTTTTCTTTCATCTTACAAGTGCTTGCAAGGAAAATTAAAATTTAAAACAAAGTTAGTATGAAAATTAGTACCAATCCATATTTGTGTTTGATCAACACTCAAATCAAATTTTAATAGCGTTCTTAGTTTAGAATTTTTAATTCTCTCCCGTTCACTTTCCTTGTATCTCTTCGTGTTTTTCTTTCTCTCATTAAACATTTATTATTTTTGTCGTAAGCTATACTATTTTTGTCGTAAGCTATACTTTTTGTTGTAAGCGATACTATTTTTTGTCCTGAAAGCCTACGGACGGCACGGACGATTCCCTGTCCCTACTAAATCGGGTTTTGCAGCTACGACGTGTGGTGCTAACGGATAATTACGAATCTTACCTTTCTGGTGTTTACCTTACCTCAACGGCGGTTCGGTCAAGAAGAAGGAAGTGGATAGTCTTCCTTTGGTGCTTACAATATATATTGTATATTTATATATGTATTTATACATGCATTTTTATTCATATTTTCTTCATTATTCATATATTCATGATCTTCGTTTAGACCAAGTGAGAGCACAAACACGAAGAATTTAACTAAGTTCCTCGTCATCATTCTCGAAATCAATTGGGATCTGGCAAAAGAGAAAATTAAGCTTTCGAAATTTCAGCTTCAATACATAAGCGTTAAAAGACCTCCATTCGGTCCCTTAAAAGTTGATTTTGCCATTTAATAATAATTAAACGGTATTTTGGAAACATCTTTCATTACCGATTTGCTTCTGAAACAAATGGCGCCTTACTTTCTTCTTTCGCCTCACTTCTTCATTTTTAACTGAACCTGACAAAAAGAAAACAAATGTCAAACCATTTAAATAATAAATCACGTACATATACTTACTTGCGTTTCCCAGTTGCGATTGGAATATCGTCCTCAGACGGCACATATGTTACACTGGAGTTTCTTAACACAAAAAAATATTAAAAGCAAACATTAAATTGCACATTAAAAATTTGCTCACTGTGTCACTCTACAGGTGGAGGGAAATGCATCACTGTCCAAAGATTTGGCCAGAGTGCCTGATTTCAGTGGTCTTCTTTGGGATAGTCCGCAATGTGAAGCAGTATTTCAATCAATTGTTCTTTGGAACGCGATCTGCAATCACAATCATTCAATATTAAAAGGACTTAATGCAACGAAATTAAAAAATAGTTACATTTGTTGCTTTGTTATATATCTATTATGTAATATTATTTGCCTTTGACAGTGATTTTAACAAATCTATTATAATTTAATGTACATTTATTATTTATGTTTGCGATTATTTCTCCCATAATTAGCTAAACTAAAGACGTAACCAAATATTAACAATTCTTCTTATCAAACTAAAACATAAAAAACTGTTTAAGCCAAAAGAAGACCGCACCACTGTGGTTTGTTTGTTCATTTATCAGGGAGGAGATTCTCGGATTTTCAAAACCATAATTAAATATAAACAAAAATGTCTCTTTTTTTCTGCTGATAGCAATGAAATTGACACGAAATTCTTATGCGATCGCGACCAAAACGTTTATCAATTGTCGATTTGGTCTTGAACGAAAGTTAGCTTTCAAATACATGATTACCCCGCAGCTAACGCCGAACATAATTAGTGGTCTGTATTGTTTTTGTTTGGTAAAAACACTACCACTTAGTTTTTTGTAGGTTTTGTTATAGGCGGCAAAGCAATTTAAAAAGTCATTTTTCTTTAATAATATAATGTCCACTTTAATGGAACAGCTATTCAATAAGATTGGACTGCGTGACGTACCAAATATAATCGAGTGAGTTTGTGTTAGTGTAACTATATTTTGGTATTAATTCTTTATTTTTAAGGAAAACATCCGAGTTGATGCGATTATTAGAATTGAAATCTGCAAATATACCTCTGCAAATTAATGAATATGCTAAAATAGTGATCAGTGGTGATATAGCAGCGAAAGTGTTGGGGGTAGCATGTGATCAGGTTAGTCCACAAAAAAAAAAATCTACTCAATTAATAAAACTACTTCCGCGTTAACAACTAATCGGAATACCCACGACTCTTTAAGTAAAATGTATATTTTATTGTATATGAACAATGGATATGTTTATTTCATATTAATACATAACTCTGAGAAAATATTTGTTTAAATACCTCTAAGCAAATATTGAGTTTTTTAGCGAGTCGAATCTAT